TTATTTATCCAATATGTCTTTTATTTGAGGGCACATGACTAGCACATAGGGAGAAATTGTAAAACATGTGGACAACGTCAAGCGTGAGGACCATTTGGAAACAATTTGAATACATTAGAGATTAATGTGCTACTATAGTAACATTGGGGAACCAAAATGAGATAGAGAATATACTCTAAAGACTACTGCTGCAAAAACATGAGGCAAATATGTAATGTGATTCGATACAACGTACCCTTCTGGTACATCATACCTACATTTACGAATCAAAAATTTATATCAATGTATTATTCACTAGAAAACTAGTCATCTGATAACTGATTATATAATATTCGATCCTATTTATAGAAATAAAATATTGTAACTCAATACAATTTGGATACTACTAAAATCTTTATGTTTCTATCAGGTCACTAATAAACTTATCCATGGTTTATTAGGACTCTTCCAATATATTTTTTATTCCATTCAAAATTCTCACATTAGTTACCCAACAAACTCTCCTTCATAACAATTAGAGAATTTTAATCAAATTTCAACGGTGTTCCTTGAATTAAACTCTTCAAATTTGGTCATGCCCAACATCAAGCTGAGCATCCTTGATTCTAATCCACCATATTTTTCAAGCACCACATGCAAACATGCTTTTTTGAGTTTCTATAATCCTCTTTATCTTTCAAGAACTTGTGTCTTAACGTATCATCATTTGTGCATCACTGTCCACGTCTTACCTGCTCTTGAAAGGTCTCAATTAGGCCTATCAAAATTCTACACGACATGATTAATCGACACGAATTAAGCGGGTTTAGGTGAAACTTTAATGGGTTTGGGTGATAAACAGGTTGACACGCCAAACACGTTTAATAAACGGGTCGTGTTTGGGTGAGATTTGTCAAATCGTTTATCACCCATTTAACAGTTTAAATAAATTTAATATAATAATAAATGAGTAAAGAAAACAAGGTAAAAAAACATTTAAAAAAAAAGTAAATAAATCAGTTCAAAAAAAAAAATAAGAAACAAAAGTTTTTAGCCGTTGAAGCATTGATCTGCTTTTTCTTTAAATCACACATCGGCAGAGGGAGTAGAGAGAAGGGACTTAGTTGCTTATAAAAGAGGAAGTGGATGTTGGCTTCACAAGTGGACTGTGGTGTGGCTTAACATGACTGAACATTGTGGTGTGGTTTGTCATGTGGCTGATCATTACCGGCTGTAACTCCTTTAATTGAGGAAAGTATGGTTGGAAAAAAAAAAATTAAGAGCGTAAAAATTTGTTAAAATAATATATTTTTTAATTATTTTTAAATGGGTTAAATGGGTCGTGTCGTGTTCGTGTTGAAATTTTTTACTCGTTTATTAAACGTATCGTGTACGAATTCACATGTTTTTTACCTATCACCCGTTTAACCTGATACGTTTGACACCTCTAGTCTCAATGGTTAATGCTTCAGGATTCAAATGTAAAGGCCTAGTGACCCAAAATTCGTGAGAAACCAGATCATCACTACTGAGTTTATGTCGGCCAAATAACTCCCAAACTATTGGAACATCGTAACTTCAACTTTAGGAATAACAAAAAATCTAAAAAACTACCTTCAACACATCACATGTGGTATTTTTTGAAATCCGAATAATCTAGAAACAACTTAGTCTCATATATGCAGGACGAAATCAATTTTCACACCAAGTCATACACACATGACAAGGGAGTCTTCTTCAACACGAACACCAACTTCGCCGTTGGACATTCAACAACTTGATTTGATTGTTGCACTAAGATCTTTAATCTAACTCTGATACCACTTATTGATCTTGCACAATTGATAATTAACATTAATAGCATAAGTTGTAATATAGGAATTTAAGATAGGAAAAACAATAAAAATATAAGATAAATATATAACGTTATTTGATATAACATATTCTCTCAATACACTGTACATATATCCACAGACAAAATTTACATCGATGTAATATTCACTAGAAAACTGATCATCTAGTAACTAATTATATAATATTCAATCTTATTTATATGGATAAAATGTTAATACTAAAACCCAATACAATTTGAATACTGTTAAATCTCTATATATATTTCTATCAAGTGATTAATAAACTTATCCATGATTTATTAGGAATCTTTTGATACGTTTCTTATTTTATTAAAGATTTTTTCATTAATTACCCAAAAAACTCCCATTCATAACAATTAAAGAGGTTGAATCAAATTCTAACACTCTTTATTTGAGAACACAAACGTTAAAAATTTAGACGACGTTATGCACGAGAACCACGTAAAAACAAATTCAATATTTCACTGATTAATGTGGTACAATTGTAATATCAAGAATTAAAATGAGAAAAAACACATATTTTAAAAATTACCACCTGTAAGAGGCAAAAAATTGAGATTACCTCTTACTAGAATTGAAATAGTTATGGGATTCTGAACTTGATCTCTCAATCTCCCTCTTCTTGCAAAATCAACACACTGCCCAAGATCGAAGTGCTTCGATCGAAGGCACTCCGATACTTAAGTCAGTAAAGATAATGAAACGAATGAAAAAAAACAAGGAGGGTTCAACGTACCTTTCACCTTGGCTCCTCTTAGTTTTTATAGATTGTTATCCCTTTAAGATTTCCATGAATTTAGGTTTAAGGTGACACACCTTTCTTCAATTCAGTCTTTTAGTTTGGGAAGCTGTTGATATTTCTCCAACAATTCCTCTGATATCTACAATTTCGTTGATTCGTTTATCTGATTGCCTAAGTTATAGGCGTATATTTATCCTTCTATTTATCTAATACAGCCCGGACATATCAAATGCCGAGCATACTTAATTTTTGCCGAACAGATCAAGGAACTTGGTTTGGCACAAACCGATTTCCTCAATTGCCTTGTTGAATATTTTATCGAACTCGGCTTGGTACAAGTCAAGCTCTTTCATTACTTAACTGAATAGACTGATGAGTTCGATCATAAAGAGAACCAATATATTGCTGAACCTCTAATTAGCTCAACACATTAAAAAATTCTTAATAAAAGACCTTTCATCACGTGACTGGTTTTGTCAACATTACGTAAGTACATTTAATATTATGTCACGTGTAATCATGAGGTTTAACCCATTCACCACAACAATTAATTCTAAATTAATATAGATGATTGAATTAGTAAGCCGTATTTACCTCCACTAAACATTGAATGTGGGACCTTTGGTGCAAAAATTTTGATGGTCACAGGTGGTTTGCATAAACATTGCTTTTCTGGAGAAATGCGAAGACACACACTACAAACAATTTTTCATATTACATAGCTCGCAGCCTCGCAGACTGCTGGAAATTAGAATAGTAGAGGAGACGAAGTCCAAGTCTCCAATACACAACACACACAGAATCGTGCTTGTAAACCTGGGCGAAAAATCCTACCCCAATCCGTGTTTTTTTTTTTTTTGTGGGAAAGTCCCCAAGCCGTGTTTTGTCTGCAACTGTTTGACCTCCTGTCCTGTTCTATTCTTTCTTTTTGCTGCCAAAATATCTTTCTAGCTGCCTTATTTGCTTTTCCCTGAGAGAGAGAGAGAGAGAGAGAGAGAGACGAGGGATTAGCCGGCCGCCCTATAGGAAAAGGAGAGCAATAGTTTTTTAGTTTTTATATTTACGAGAAGAGGAGCCATTTCAAAGTCAAAGTGGAGTGCGAGAAAAAGCCAGACAGCCCCCCCTTCTCTATCTCTCTCCCGTTTCGGGTTTGCAATTCCACAATTTGATCGCATCCACCTTCAAGCGTCGTATTTATACCTCTCTCCTTCCCTCTCTCTGATTTCATCTTCTTTCTATTATTCTAAGGTCTTCTGGTTTTCTCTTTCTACATATCAACCGTATTATACCTCTTCAATGAACTCGAACGCCCCGTCATCGAGCGCTGGAGCCGCTGGGACGGCCGATTCCTCAGCAACTAGAAGAAATTCTAAGCGCCCCAAATGTATAATATTCTTCCCTAAACCTTCTTTTTCCCTTTGTTTTTCTTCTGAGTTTTGGAGAGTCAAATCGGCAAGTACTGATATGCAGTCAAGTGGATACAAACCATATAATCCCTGAATTGTTGTGATTTGGGATCCTGTTCATAATTACTTTCATAATTGCTTTTCTAGGCGCCATAGTTAGAACTACGACTTTGTTTAAAAGTTCTTGTTCTTCACATCATATGTATTACTACAAATTATCTGTTTGTCCTAGAATTTTCAATTCAATTGTGTGATCCTTCCATCATAACTTATATCTACTTCAATCGGGTAGGTTTGCTCCTTAATAGAAATTTGCACTATTGATCATGCTTATGTTTGACTTTTGATTAGAGTTGGAAAAGTTGGTTTTGCGAAGTGTAAACTCAATAGGAAACATGCTATTTCATCATTATTTATTATGATCTCAATTGGGTTTTTGTAGAGTATATCCCAAAGTTAGTTGTTAGGGGCGAAAAATTGGGGAAGATCTGCTGCCTTTTACTATGCACTCTTTACAAATTTACTCATGCATTATCCTTTACCAGGTTAAAACACTAAATCCTTTTATGTGTAGAGTAGAATTTAAGCTGGTAGAGTTTTGCAGAAGAAGATTATGTGAAATTAAAGCCAAAGTTAGATGTTGGGTTTTTTAGTCTGTCAATGGAAAACTTGACCTGACTGGGGTTTTGGGTGGTTTTAAGTTGAGGAATATTGAGTTATTATGTATTCCACCACACACCTGCTCTGAGGAGTGTAGGGTAATGGGCATTCACCATTACTCAGAACAGAATATTGGCAAGAATGTTTACATAAGTAGAAGGGCATTAGGATTAGGAAGGCCTGGGATGAGTTTGTACAAATTATTCGTTCATTGTGGGGGTTGTCTGTGGTTGAGCTATTGGCATGACATTTGTGTGTTGGAGATCTCATTGAAAGTTAACTCCCAATGGAACGAAGAGGCAATTGTTGCTGACTGCATTAGCTTTATAGATGGGAGTGATGTCCAAGTCTTATTTTATGGGTCATTACCGGATGGGGAATTGCACTGAGGTATATGGTGGATATAATTAAGACATTGGCAGGGAGATCATGACATATGAGGTTTTGTGGTGAGGGAACTATTTTTTGGTGGGAGATTTCTGGCAATATAGATTATTAGAAAGAGCCATCCAAGGTGCTCCCCCTCCCCTCCCTTTGGGTAGTTCCTCTGTCGGTGATATTGACTACAAATAGCATATGGTAAAAGGGAATGCTACCCAATTAGTGTTGCATGTACAACGTGCAGAAGAGATTGCAAACCATCATCTGGTTTTCCACATTCTCAACTCTTGGAGTCCATGACGTCCATGCTGGCTTTGTGTGTGTGTGTGTTTATCCCTCCTTACAACAGTCCAGGGGTTTATGTTATGAGTGAGTCTTCCCCACTCTTGCTGTTTTGGCAGTTGGTGTGTGTATTCGTTGGCTATTTTATACCAAATGAGCACCTTTATCTTATTTGGCGTGCTTGGCAGGAGTGTAACTGGAGGAAGTGGATCTTTTGTTGATAGTTCTTTCTTTCTGGCTAGACGGAGTATTCACCCTTCTGTTGCTCGTTTTTGTGCATTCATAATTTCGTAAACACTTTAAATGATCATTTTTGTGCATTCATAAAAGACCTTAGTATCTTGGTTGGAGCATGCCATTCTCTGATTCTGGTACACTTTACGTGTAAATTGTTGCATTCTCTCTGGTCCTTCTGTTATAATCTTGCTTCTTACTTCTACATCTCTAAATATTAATCAAAATATTGTTTACTTTAGTAATATTTGTTTTGATATTCCTTTTGCCAATCTTGTGGGGAATTAGTTTGTTGAAAAATTGGAGATTGGTGAATGGTGGCTGTATGTTTTGAGCTTATGCTGCTTCACATATTTTCAATGCTTAAGTTTGTTCCTCGTGTTGTGCCCGCAGCCATTAGTTCATTGGTTGTGTGTACCAATACTGTAAAATGGTTGTCTTATGGTAGATAGTAGGTATCATGTCACTGATGGAGACAACATATTTCCATTTTCTATTGAGACCCCACAGAAACAATGGTGAATTTGCAATATAATTTTTGAATAGTGACAAAAATATTAAATATAGAGATCTTAGTTTCTTTATTTCCTTCTTTTGCCTTTATATAAGTGGGTCAATGACAATAAATGAACTCTTTAGCAAAGTCATTTGATTGAAACTAGAGTTACTTTGAGGACAATATGAGGCCAATAAGAACATGGGACAAGGCAGTCAGAATGGATAGGATATTTAAGGTCTAGGGAAGGATACCAATTCACGTAGAGCTCAATGGATAAATATCTGTGGAACAGGCATCCCAAGTGATGGGGTTGTGTAGAAGTAATATAAATGTTGTGGATTTATTTATTTACTTAGATATCATGCAATAGTTATCTTTTTGTAATAGAGTTAGATTAGGAATCTTGATTTAGGGTTTTCCCTATACAAAGGTGCTGATCTAATTATTTGGAAGACCTTGATTATTGAGACTAGTCTTTTTTGCCCAAATTTTCTTCTTCTCTAGTCTTCTCTTTCCCTTCTTCTTCTCTCATCCTTCCCTGATATCATTCCCCTAGAGCTAATTTGGTCTACACCACCTAGTATTGGGGATCCATACCTGATTTTCAGAATCTTCTTAGGCTAAAATCATGAACCAAATAAAAATTATTACAAAATTTATTTTTTGTTTTTGTTTTTGTTTTTTCCTTTTTTTTTTTGGGCGGGTTGTGTGGGGATATTAGTGGTATGCTTTGATGCATCATTACTTATGGCTAGAATTATTGGCAAAAGGCATCTTCATGGTTATAGAGCACATTAAAGCTTAAGTTTTCTTAAAAAGAGATACTCCCTTTAAGGTGAAAGACAATCTGCCATGGGCCTCCTTCTCTGACTGTGCTTTGCTTTCTCATATGTAGAGGAACACCCTTTTGCACTTTATTGTCACTTCCCATTTCCTCCAGCTTCTTTGGCTTGTGTTGCTCCTGAGATTGGGAAGCATTTAATGTACTTTTGTAGGCACTTGCTACTTTGTGCCTTCAAGTTTTAGTTATCTTGTCACATTCTTAATCGCGTTATTTGCCTTAATCCAACTGTATGTGCAATTGAGGGTCAAAAATTGTTGGGCAAGCGTAAAAGGTGTTGTTTTATAGCTCATCTGTTCACGGTTGAAAATTAATTTGTGTTTATGCCATTGGAATCAAAATGTGACATAGGAAAGGGGGAGATGATGGATAACCATTGTCAAATTCATCAAGTTCTGGTCCAAGGCCATTATCAGTTGCGACTACATGTTTCTATGTTTTTTTCTTCGTAAGCAAAAGTGTAGATTGTGGAGAGGGATTTAAAATAGAAAGTTGAAAGCAGAAGGCAAATGCTAAGTGGCCAAGAGAAGGGATAGTAATTCTAAAATGTTTCATGGTCGCAAATGGAAAAAGGAAAAAGAAATTTATGCAAAGACTCAAGGTTGGCGATCTGTATGTGAAGTGTAGCTTGTATTTTCTTTTGCTTTTCCTTTGCTTCCTTTAATTGGTGTGCTACTTGTTCTTTGAGGAATTTAGGATTTCTTAAGTGCTAGTTACAATTACGACTCTCATGATAAGATGACAAATTATAGATAAACCGTCCTAAAGTGTTGATTTACTTTCCTCTTTTTTTTGCTTGTTTTGTAATCTCGTAATTAACATTGCGGAAATAATGTGTTTATTTTTTAGATAATGGAAATATTTTTATGACAAATTAGCGTTTCAACTTATCAGAATTTAGATTGAAAGAGTCATACAAGATCGCACTAGGCATAGGCATAACTAGTGATGTGCATCTAATGGATATGGAATCATTTTTTTTTGACTAAAAAACCCAGAACTTATTAGATAAGTTTATGATTTTGAAGTTAAACCACGCATATTGCTATTGTTTAGGTGATGTGTGAATGGAGAGAAAAACTCATTTTTCTGGTTTCCGTTACGGTTACATAAAATTCTTCATGCCCTAAGTCGGTTATGCCCCACTTCCATTTCAGCTTTACAATTACTGGTAGGGTGGCTGTAACCATTATTTAAAATCATGGTCAGATGTGTTCAGTTGTAGAAACAAGAAAAAACCATACTTGAAGTTAATTTAATTTAGTTGCCCCAGGCTCTAACCTTTGGTGAAAGAGGAAGATGATGAATGGGTATGTATGTTATCATTGAGTTGATTTAAGCAGATGGTTATTTTTCATTACACTCTCAGTAGTAACTCTTCATCCTAAAAAAACAAAATGTACAAAAATCATTGTTTTAACCTATAGATAGACATCTTTGTACCCTCAAAATCCATCTATTCCTTTCCTGCCACACACACTCACTCTCTTGTTGATGTGGGTAATCTGGTCTTGTATTCATTTTTGGATGGGACATATGTGCTCAATATTTGAATTGTAGTAAATTATTTAAACTTGAAGATGTGTTAGTTAGATATGTGGGAGGTGTTCTTGTTTCCTCCTTCAGATATGTTTTTTTCCCTCTTCCTGTTGGTACCCTGAGTTTTTCCAAAAAAAATTCTCAGATTTTCACTTGCCAATAGCTCTTGTATAATTCAGGATAAAAGAAGCTTTGTATCACCATCATTGTAGCCATAACACTTGTTTTTTGTGAATGAGAAGGTTTAGTTGCCTTTATGCCACCTGTGACAACTAACAAGCCTAATGAATTTAGTGGATGACAATGTGATTATTAGTGATCTAAGGAAATTTCCCTTCCAATTTTTTTCCTTCAGATTCAAGGTTTACCCAACAGGAACTTCCAGCATGCAAGCCGATTCTTACACCCCGATGGGTAAGTATGCCTTAAGTTTCTTCTGTGACTTTTGAAAAATTTGTTGGTTTTCTGTCGACATCATAGGAATCATATTTATCTGCAGAACTCTTCTTTTCCTGTGCAGGTGATTTCAGCATTCATGCTTGTTAGCCTTGTATTCATTCCCATTGGAGTTGCTTCCCTATTTGCTTCCCGGGATGTATGCTCAAAACCGACCAAACTGTCATGCAATGTCTTTTCTCACCTTTTTATGTTGTTGACTATGGATACTTTTTTTCTATGCTAGGTTGTTGAAATCATTGATGGGTATGAAACTCACTGCATACCACAGGAGTTTAGGAATGATAAGGTCAAATATATACAAACTCCTGGAGTGAAACCCTGCATCAGAACCATGACGGTAAGGTCTTTGTCTGCTTGATTTCCAGGTTGAGTATACTGCAAGAACATAATTTTGAGGTTTCTCAATAGTTATTTTTATCTAATATTATCGAATAATATCAGGTGCCCAAGCATATGAAGAAACCTATTTATGTGTACTATCAGCTTGATAATTTTTATCAGAATCATCGCAGGTATTCATAATCTGCCTCTGTCATTATCTATTCTAATTCATATTTTGATTACAAAGTAAAAATAATTTGATGTATCATATTTTCCTCTATTGTTCGTTAGATTTTAATATTAGATTTAGAAGAATTTTTAAAGCAACAAAATCAGGTAGATCCTGGACAATAGTGGTCGTCCAATTATTTATCAAATCTTTTTTGAACCAAGTGTTCTGCCAGCTGATATCAACAATATTCTTTGATATAAGGTTCTACCTCTTTGCAAACTATGAGATGACTTGTATGTTAGATTATTTGTAACTGTCATCATGTTTTTCATATGCAAGGGTTAACTGTTTGGTGACCGGGGATTGTTCTAGAAAACTTTCATTACACTTGTTTTTGTCATATAGGAGAAAATAATGTAGCAATTGGTTTATGATTATACTGATACTATGGAAAAATAGATCATGGAAATGGTCTAGAAAATCACACAAAAAAAATCTTTTGACGGTACCATTGTTTCTGGTAAACAAGAAAATTAAGCAATTATTAGAAAATTTAGAAACTCTATGAAGTAACATGACTTTATATCTTTGTGATTTTTTTTTGAGAATTAAGGTTTCAAGTAGTGTTCCAACTGTACACACATTTCATTTCCTTTTGCATGGAAAGCGCATATTAGCACGACCTTAATAATGTATAAGCCTTTTCCAGCTCGACTTTTTTTGATTATTTTTTTGGTTACTTTTATTTTGTTCTAATAGTAAAAGAAGAATTGCCCAAAAATAATTTTATTCATAAGATTTACAGGGATGTGGCTAACCCAAATAAAAAATAGAAAAAAATGAAAGATTGTCCTGGGACATAAGCCCCAGATGGAGGTATTTCTATGGTCTGTATTTTTTTCATGCTTCACAAATACTTATATGTAATAGCGTTACAATCAATATGATGGTTTGTCCAAAAGCATGAAATTGTTCTCCTGGATATCTACAGTTATGTGAGCAAATATCAAGATCACACTAAGGGTTTGATGTTTTATTTCATAGCATTACATTGGCCTGGTATGGTCTTAGCATACGTGGTTAACATAATTTTCTTTTGCGACAACAAAATAAGCACTCCCTGCTTTAGTGTCCATTTCGTAGGAGGAAGCATGTTAGGAAGGATAAGTGGAGGATAGGAAAAGGGACAAAAAGGAAATTTCTGTTGTTGGGAAGGAAATCGGGAATTAAGGAAACCAGGAGGATGCCCATACCTCTTTGGACATGCCATTGATCCACTGTCCAATAGTGGATGAGAAGAGGGGGTATTTTTTGTAAACCATATTAATCCTTCAAACGTCACCTTTGTATTAGGACATGGTGGTAATATAGTAACATTTCTGTCCTTTCTACTCAACTAAACAAGCAAAGAGAAAGGCATGCTTGTAGTGTTAGGGATACCATTCAACTCCTACACTCCCTGCCTTTTGGTAACCAAACAAAGCCTGATTCCAATTTAGTTGGATATTTTTCTAACGAGTAATATATTTTTTTTTTAATGTTTTGACTTTTTATTTGGATCTTATGCTGATGCCTTTCTCAGGTATGTGAAGAGCCGAAGTGATGTGCAGTTGAGAGAGAACAAGAGTGAGAATGATGTAAGCTCTTGTGAGCCTGAAGATATTGCCAATGGGATGCCGATTGTGCCCTGTGGCCTTATAGCTTGGAGTTTGTTCAATGATACCTACAACTTCTCACGCAACAACCAGCCATTGACAGTAAACAAGAAAGACATCTCGTGGAAGAGTGACAGGGATCACAAGTTTGGCAAAAATGTCTTCCCCAAGAACTTCCAGAGTGGAAAGCTTGTAGGGGGTGCAAATCTCAGTTCATCCATACCAGTAAGCCTATAATCACTTGTTATATTAGTGCTTTAAGATGGGATTATGTGTTATGTATGATCACATTGTTGCATATCTGTCGTGGCCTTGGTCATAATTTAATGCAAGAAAAATAATGCAACAATACGAACTAAATTTGTGTAAATTTTTGACGGTTTCCTTGTATAAAAAGCATGATTTTGTTGATTTAATGTTGAAATGATATGGACTGTTAAAATTGCCAGAATTGTTGATATGATGTGGCCTTATATCCTTAATTCCTTAAATTAACAATTTGACGTGTTCAACAAATATTAAACTTTAAAACTTTTTACGGTGTGCTTGTGGGTTTGGATTGACATATATTTGTGTATTTAGAATTTTTAAGAAGGCAGCCAAGCTGGTTGAGTTGTGGTTGTGGGATAGGTCACTGCTTAACTTTTTGCAACTTCTATAAACCGTCCTCTTCTGCTTTTTCCTTGCAGCTGGTTCTTTTTTATTGGAAATTGCTTATTGATGAGGCTAATCTAATTTGTTTGAATGGATCTTTGTGTAACAGTTGAGTGAGCAGGAGGACCTCATTGTTTGGATGCGAACCGCAGCTCTTCCAACCTTTAGGAAATTGTATGGGAAAATAGAGGTGGATCTTCAGAAAGGGGAGGTGATAAATGTGACATTAGAGAACAATTACAACACTTACAGTTTCAACGGCAAGAAAAAGCTTGTGCTTTCTACCACCAGCTGGCTTGGCGGGAAGAATGATTTTCTTGGTATTGCATATCTCACTGTTGGTGGGCTATGTTTGTTTTTGGCTATGGCATTCACAGTTGTGTATCTAATTAAGCCGAGGTGAATTTTCTTACCTTATCCATCCTACGCATTTCTACTCTGCTGACTTTGTAAGGGACCGGCTTTTGAATGCGTCTCTTCCTATTTAAATTTGTACTCCATTTTTTGGTAGTTCTGTTGTAGTCTGGTTCACGAACCATGGTAACATTTGTCTTGCATCCCATTTTATGCCTATTAAGGAAAGGAACCAGTACCCAAACTCTCGTAGATATAGGATGGTATGCAATGTAGCCTGCTTTGTCCAAAAAAAAGGAATAAATGCATGTGTTTGGACCTAGTTTTTCCTGTTTGTGGCACCCCAAACAAAAGGTTGAAGTTTTTTTTTTTCCAAACTTTTTCAAGCACATATTCAGCACACAATTACTTACTTACCCAATATATGGATACACGCATTGGAAGACTAGAGAGCAAAACAAGCCCAACCTGAGAGAGAGTAGAGGCCAGTTTATTAACTCCTTGGACATTAGTTGTGCAACCGATGTGGGATCATGAAAAAAAGGGTGAAGTAGAATGGACAGAAAATCTGAATTGCGGATGGGAAATTAATTGTGGTTGATATGTTCTCTTTCAGGCGACTTGGAGATCCATCCTATTTGTCATGGAACCGGAACCCTGGAGGCCACTAAGCTAGCTGATGGAGCCACTTCAGGTGGCTTGGCTCGATTTTGTTTTCCGTGATGGTTGATGTATGTGTATTTTATAGCCTTAAAAATTCGTGTATGTATTACTCCAATCCGAATCATTTTGATTGTTTGGAAGCTGAATGTTGTGGTACGACATGGACAGTTTAATGTATTGTCTCAGGCAGATTCTAATGCGGTTGCCAATTAGTTTGTTAATGCAATGGCTTTTCATATTTTTTTTTTCTTAATAAAGATGATGATTGAGCATGATAGAACAAGCTTCCTGCACATGTTCAAGTCAGATACACCAGGCTATGCTGTTTGCAGTTGGTGGGCTCCTCCACCTTCGATCTGTGGCTGCTCCAGTCCTGACCTGTACATGCCAAAGAGAAGAAAATGTAAGATCCATTGGTAACATTTATCTACAAGAAATATTTCTTTGGTGTATTCATGGACAAAAGGAGTAGAAGTAGTGATCATAATAATGGTAGAAAAACAAAGATAAAAGTCGATGGGTAAGCCATGCCTTTAGTCTTAGACTCTTAGTACCCTGATCGTAACAGGCTATGAGCAGACTGCAGGGACGAAGCAAGCACCAAGATCCTGGTAACCTTGTTTAGCTGTTTCCTATTACTATTAATACAATACAGAACCTTTGTCTGCAACTGCTCCAACAACCCTTTGAGCAATCTTCAACTCCTTCCCTTTTGTCTCCCATCCCATGCCTCGGTACTTTTTAACCCGACAACCATTCTGTAGTGTAGTAATAAAGCGAAAATAAAAATGATGAAAAAAACTATAAAAAATTAAAAGTCACTGTGCAGAATATTTCTACCATTGCTTATAGGTAAAATTCAAATTCAAATTCAAATTCAAATTCAAATGATCATTAATTAAACCACACTACCACTGCATGTTATTAGTGGTTTCGGGATGAATTCACCCCCAAGCCAAGTCCATACAAACTTCAAATCATTCTATTTCTACTTCATCATCAACCATTGAAAATTGTGAACCGATACGATACCCCTTTGAAGTTTGTGTGCCTCACCTCACTCACAACCTAAACCTATGAAACTAAAACATTACCAATCAATCACGACATTATTCTCGATATCCTAATTACATACATACACGGCCACGGCCACGGCCAGGCCAATGGAGTGGAGCCACACCACACCACACCCCATCCCTTTCCCTACTCTCAACCCATCAACTCTACTCCACCCACAGATCAAATCCAACAATCAGGATACGCCATCTTAATCATCTCAATCTCAGAACTAGAATTCCCTTGGGAACTATCCAACACCAACACACCCCCGCCTTCACCAAATGCCCTACACTACACTACACTACACTACACTCTTTCTGTCCGATGGATGGGATGGCACGGAGTCCATGATCTCCGACCGACAGCACTTCTCTGATGAAACAACGCGGCATCTCGATTTTTATTGTTCGAAGGAATCTGGAATTTTGAGTCACGCATATTAGATTTCGTAAACATTCCTTCATTCTACTCAACGGCAAGGCCAACGATCAGGTTTTAAATTTCTATATCTCCCTTCCATTCCATCGATCTGGTACAACTTATTCGTGTTCATGTTCAACTCATTAGGAGGGAAAAACTGAAATTTAAATGTTGGGGTGTTGATGATGTTGGGTCTTTAGATGGTAGCTAGATAAACGGATTTATTAGGGTAGTGTTAATTGGCCGTGGCTTATTTCTGAATCGGATATTCGAGACATGGCTGGTGGTGTCCGGTTGTGAAATGCTATGCTTTTAGAATTTCATATGCCGAAACTATCTGCCTATTCTATGTCTATGATTGATCTATTGAATCTATTATTTTTCTTTCTAATTTTTATTTATTTATTTTTTTTGTGTGAAAAATGCAATTGTTAGGTGCGTGCATGGCTGTAGAGTTTGGCATTTTTGGTAATGAGATGTCATTCTCCTACTACAGAACCTAACTGAAAATTTGCGCTATTGGATAGCCATGAGTGTTGTCCGGCACCGGCACCGGCACCGAAGAAATGGCTTGCTTTGATGGCAGAAAACATAATTTTAATCTACTCATTCCCAACATTCACAAAAATAGACTATTCAGTAGTCACCCTTCTCAATTCCATCACTGCCTAAGCAATTTTATTTCTATATAAGGCATTGCCTACAAATAACGCCACCCAAGCACAGTGCATACATACATACATGCATTCACTCTAGCTGAAGAGCCGTGGAACCATAAACGAACAAATATCTCAATACATGGATTCCTGACGGACATAATTTGTATATTTGGTTACAAAAATTTCTGGCTGATAGGGAAATGATTAATTCAAAAGTAGCTCCTTGTCTTGGTAGGACCCTTTGTTTGGTTTCTCAGGTTTGGGTTTTTTTTTTGGAGGAGGGGGGTTGCGAATTCATGGTGGTTTTATTTGAAGAGAGAGAGAGAGAGAGAGAAAGAGAGAGAGGGAGGGATAGTCTTTCAGTCTCCAAAGATAGAAGTAACTTCGTTAATCAGTTGTAGATAAAATGACAACCATCATAACCTGAAATGAGGCAAATGGGAAGACACATTAGCACCAAAGACAAATAGAATTATTTACATATCAGGAATATTGTTTGGAAACTCACTTGGATCCACAGTGACCAGCATAGCTGTTCCTCCAAACTCGCATGTTCCTCCGGCCACCTTGGTTCTTTGCCAGTAGCTGTTGAAGGCATAGGAGGCATGCGCAAACAGTGTATTGGGCTCAAAGCATGACCCATTTTCCTGAATTTGATCACAATCTGCTCCAGATCCACAAGCATAGTTCATTGCTTCTCGAATTATTGGGTCAGGCACGGATGGCTTGGCCACGCACCACAGCGTCGTGGGTGGGCCATGATATGGAGGTGGTGGCACAGTGGGTGGCGGGAACACAACAGGTGGCTGAAACACTGGTGGGCTAGTTACAATCCCAGGTGGGGTGGGAATATTAGTAGTTGGGCTTGGTACATAACTTGGTGGACTAGGCTCGTAATTAGGTGGGCTTGGAATATAGATGAGTGGACTGGGTACATATTCTGGTGGACTTGGGATGTAACTAGGCGGGCTAGGAACAATTTCTGGGGTATTTGGAGATGGAACATATTCAGATGGACTTGGAGGTGGGTTTTGGATGGGTAATATTGGTGTAGAAGAAGGTGGTAGGGACGGAGGCAATGGTGTGTATCCTCCTGTAGGCGATGGAACGCTTGTAGAAGGGGTTTGAGGGGTAAATGGTGCATACGGTAGGGATGGGGTTGATGGTGTATATCCTCCTATAGGGGATGGAAGAATTGTAGAAGGGGATTGTGGGGTAGATGGTGGATATTCACAAAATGGAGGGGTATTTTCGGGCAAGGGAATTGGAGCAAGTGAATCGTAAGGGGGCAGATTGAATGGTGAACTCACACTATATCCATATGGGTCAGTGTTGGACGAATCCAATGGTGTAACCATGTCGAAACGCTTCAATCCACTCACTCTTCTGGCAGGTTTGATGTTTGAAATTCTTGAAGGTAGGGGAGTTCTAAATAGCTGCACTGATTTTCTTGCATCTGCTCAGCATAGATAAAGAAATTTGTTACCTTATCACCATATTTATGTCTGTGTACTGATACAATCTGAAACCTATTATTGACTGCCGCCATATTACGAAAATCATGTATATATGCTGCTTGAAGTATTACACTAACAGACATTGTGCCTTGTTCAAGGTTCGTACTTTTGAAATACTTTGACAGCAGTAGTTTAAAAATTCAGCAAATTAAATGACATCTGATAATTATGTAGCTGGTTTGTGGTTAAATTATTGGATAAGTAACACAGTCCAGTCTACAAGTAGCTTGTGTTGTGGCACTGCAATCCTAGTATGTATATATCAATGGAAGCAATCAATCTGTTCTTAAACAACTTAAACAGTATTCACTACCAAATGTGTAATTCGGGTAAGGAAGAGTATTAGAGTCAGATCATTTTGTTTAACTAGCAATAGTACAATTGAAACATATGTAGAAGCTAGATGTTTTGACAATTTACATGGACAATGCAGTTAGTAGCTGGTGGACTAGAGACGGAAAACAGGAAAATAAGAAATATTAGATCAAGACGGAGATTAAGGACTTACAAGTGTGAGTGAAGGAGATAGTTGCTACCCATAAGTAAAGAGCTAAAATGCATGTTCTGCTTGTTTCCATTGATGAACTACAAAGCATGGCTAAACTGGCAAGGACTTGAGGAAATGAACTCTTCTATATGCTTTTGCCAACACCACTCAGCATGATCAGAAGCCATTATAGGTGGCTTATTATATATATATGTGTAAAAGCAGAACGGACAGTCCTAGAGTAGAAAAACCTAAAAGTGAAGCAGCTAGAGCAAGGGATGCAAGAAGGATGGCCATAAAGATGATTCTTTAGCCACCCACTTTGCACTGTCACACTGCTTGTGTTTAGAAATGTGTATCTGAAGAAATGTACAAGAGATAAAGCTTTAGAGAGTGTGTATTTTATGCCAAAGTGTACACTGCCCGTGTATCATTTTTGTTGTCCCTGAAGTTGGCATATATGCTTGCTTGACATCCAGAAAAACCAAAAGTTGAGTTTTTTGCCCTTTTGTTTTGCTTGCTTTCTACTCAAAGTTCTGTGTGTGTGTGTGTATAGATACATATTTCGCATAAATAATACTAGACATCCTGCAGAAATTAAAAATTAATTACTGTATAAGAAAGTAATGATTTCAACAAAGGGCTTATTCTAAGTTGAATGACACAGCCGGATAAATACCTCAGAAGATGGATTACTAATTGTATGTTGCTTATGGCAGCCACCATATAGATTATATATGCTAAATGTATTTGCTTGTTATTGTTGTATTATCCAAATTACCATATATTGAATTTCCAGTATTCTAAATCCTGGTTGTTTTGATTTCCTAATTAAACAAGGTAACTTTGGCAAAAATAACTCTGTCATGTTCTTCTTAATCGAGCAGTAAACAAAAGATAATAGAATATTTGCAAGATTACAAATAAATAAAAATGGCAGCAACATGTTGTCCATACCGTATACAATAGTGCAGAGTCAAAGGATTTACAGTGCTACCCTTCTCTGGCATTTTCTTGCGGACTTGATAGGTAAATGTTGACTACACCAAAAAAAAAAAAAAAACAGAAGGCTGGTTTGAAAGCAGTTGAATTTCTTTGATTCTATGGATGTTCTTTTCAAATGAGAAGGAACATTTTTAGGGGATTAAGCATCTAAACACGAGAGCTTCATGCGTGCATCTTAGATGTCAATACCACTCCACCAAATTCAAACCTAAGCTTTGGCATTAGATTGACCTACAGAATCCTTCTAGCAAGAGAAAGTGCAAAGATATTAGAAAACAAGTACCCTAAGATCAGGGTAAATTTGACTTGTCGAATGATATATTATCAGATATTTCAGTTGGACAAATCCACAAGCTAAAATTCAGACATTTCAAATATATACTTCAATTTGTTTGTAACTGAACAGAGTCTTATTCATGTGGGATAATTCCAATTCCAATTCCAATGTTTGGCCAAGTTGCGCATGATTTCCCAGGTGTTAATGGACTAGAAGAGTTCACTATTGGACGAGTGGCATGAAGAGCCGGAAATGCTCGCATGTTGTGTATTTTCCGGTTTCTCATTCTAGAGGTTCAATCTCTTTCAATACCCAAAGTACTATCTCTTTGAATACACGACTCACATTTCATGTTTCTTGAGACACCTCTTCAAAAATGAACAAAAAAAAAATGATTACAATTTTACTTATATGTATGATGAGACGTAAAGCTTTCATACATGTATGACAAGAAATTTTAAGTAAATTTTAGTGAGGTTTAAATGTAGCTAGAATCCCCCAAAAGCAAATCAAGCATGTCATTAGGAGTTAGAAGAGTTGTTCCACCAAGAATCAATTCTATATCAGTTCTGCCGCTCTCAGATAATGCCTCCTGAGCTTCACGTACCTTGAGATACAATAAGAGGACAAAGTGTTATCATATTTCTGATAAAAGAAATCAAATTCTAGTCTATTTTACAAAATATTTTCCTCCAGGAAGGAAAACCTCAAGTAAAATGGTCGTCATAATTTCCGGTGCATTTATACGAGACACATAAGGTAAAGCAATAGTAGAGAATATTCTCGAAAATCATATGCTTGACACCAAAAGACCCTACACACAGACACTATTTCAGAGAGAGAGAGAGAGGGGTTCAAACCTCAACGCCATTGATGCCTCCTATAATAAAAACTAGAATAACATTTTGGTCGGCAAGGCTAGGTTTTGCCTGCAGAAATAGGAAGTAATAGTTCAGCATATCTAGGCAATCAAAAAAAAGTTCGACATGAAAAACCTAGTGGTAGAACAAACCTGTCTAAGACCAAACCTTCCAAACCCGCTTTTGAAAAGTCGACCAACAGTAGAGGAATGGTACTCCAAGCCAGGTACATCATACTTACCCAGTACATTTATTAGAAGTTTATGAAGAAGTCCTTTACTTGAATAAGGACCTCCACTGAAGGTACTTTCTAAGGCCAACGTCCCCTCTCTCAATGACGTATTTCTCTTCAATCTGGATAACTTATGAAAGAATTTGAACAGATTATCCACCCTATCACGCAAATCCAACTTCAGCTGCATGTCATCATATACTTGCTCTTTATTAATGTTTTTATCAGCATCTTGATCACCCCAACTGCCCCACTGATCATCATCAAAATCATCATCAGTTTGTAGATTAGACTGTCCATCCATTTCTTCTACCTTGTTCCTGTTTAAGTTGGCTTCAAGCTCGTCTGAAAGTCCTTGAAGAAATTTTAGTTTTGCTGCTGCTGGGTTCTCAAGAACCGCATCAACAATAGCTTCTTTCAAGAAATGCTCCTCTTGCCACGAAAAAGGACCACCAGAGCCGGATGTGGGGAAATTTTCCCCTGCTAATATATATCCAATAATGGTGAGGAGCAAAGCATCTTGAAAACTAAGAAGCCCCTGTGATGGCTCCATTTTCCCACTCTTCCGTCCTTGCGAGCCCACTAAAGCACTTTTATTGATGAGATCACTTATTTGAGCAGCAAGGCTCTGGCTTGTGTCTCCAGCACTTAAATTCAACATCTTCTCAGCACTGTTGAACGCATGCGATCTGGCACTGTGTAACTCATCCAGAGCATATAATGTGGCAGCCGCTAGCTGAATAATTCCTTTGTTTCTCATTAAAGATGACTCATTTTTAGCCAGAGCTTTAATCATAGGATGCAACTCTGAGTTTGAAGCAAAACCAGGACGAATTTTCACATTCAAAGTTATATTTTCCAGACGTAATGTCTCTTGAAGCCACTTCTTGATCAGTACAGCCCCATCTTTTGTGCTTCTATCTAGTATGGATTCCAAATATGGTGTTCCATTAAAATATTCAGTGGAGACAAAGGATCCAGATAGTAGATCACTTCTGGAATAAACAGATTCTTCATTAAGTTTACTACTGAGATTGACCAGCTCGACCTTTTGAGAAACCGCGCCACTGTTATTCCACCCATGTAGAAAAGCCTCGATGCTTTCCAGCAGCTGAAAATTCTCTGTCGTAGACTCTTCTTTGCTAAGGAGTTTGTCGAGTGGTATCTGAACATCAAGGGGTGCACGTTTTAGGTTAGCAGGGCCATGTTTGAATTGGGTTTGTGAACCCTTCATGTTCGCAGAAGATGTTCTTCCCCTCCGAGGCAAAGATGAAAATATACTATCCACAAGTGAGTCCCCATGACAGCATGGAGTAAGAAGATCAAGCGTGCGATCAATGAGCAATAACCCTGCTGATTTTTTACGCCGACCTACGTCATAAAGACTTGACATGTCTGTCAAAAGCTTCCCAACAGTTTTTGATAAATCACCAAGAGAGAATATTTCCAATTTCAGATCCATCTACATGTTTTAGAAAAAAATATTCAAGGTCATGATAATGAATAGTAGAAATCAGAATGTGCAAAATAACAAATGATTGAGATAAAGAACATAAAGGGTGGAAAAGAGGATTTATAAGGGTGCTATGGTACATTTCTAGTAATTCCCAGGTTTTCGAATTTAACCTTCCTATCTGTTCTTATACTCAACATTAGACTACAGACTTCTTTAAGATGGTAATTACATCCTCTTCCCCTAAACATAGAATACAGAGACTCAAATTCAGCAATTAAAAAATTAGACTATGTGATCGGAAAAAACTATGTAGACATTGTGGTTATCTGATGTATTTAACAGTAACAAACAGGGATCATTGATGCAAGGTTTAAGTCAATTCAGCCTATACAGTAACCTGTAGTTCACTTCAGCAATATTGGTCCAAGGGTATATTGCAGGAAACTAAGACCATTATGATGCATAGGAAAAAACGCAGAAAAGAAAACTTCATTGAAAAGATAAAATCTGGAACACTGCACCAAAGAGGAGGAACACGTCTAGGTTCAAGCATGCATAATGAATTACATTTAATACCTTTGAGGCCAGATGATAAAGAAATTGGGCTGTAAGAGTCGCCCCAGGAGGGATGTCCTCGCCCTCAGCAGCTGTCCCAGTACTTAATGGAGGCAACCCTGGGCTGATAGAATTCTCATGCTGATTTGATAAATATGCTTCAGCAATTGATCCCTCTGAAGGTAAGACAAAGACTCTCGGTGAAAAAGGACACAAAATCAAAGGGAGGTGAAGCACAGAGACAACCAACTTTTGTCCTACATCTTGTGCATGGCCTAGTGGATCATCTTCACATGAATCTCTTGCACCTGAAAGGGCATCTAAGTTAGAAATTTCCTCTTCACTGGAAGTGAGTTGTGACCACCCTTCATTTTTGGGGGTGATATGTTCCTTCAAGTCACTGTCTCCAGACTGTCTAGAATTTGTCTCATGTCTCTTGGTGAGCTCCTCATAATCTTGGACAAGCAAGGATTCATATTCATGAAAAGCATCTGGTCCTAGAGGTGAATCAGGATATGCTGAATGAGCTATCTGCAATTGTTAATCAACTTCGTAAGATTTCCCAAACATGGCAGACAAATCACAAAATATATTTAGATAACCTTCAGAACATACCAAAACAAGGTCTGATGGGTATACGTTGACAAAATGCAATATTTTGTTTCAGATATATGTTGTACCATAATAAGGTATTCCAGCTTAGACTATCACAGATGACAATGAATGACAAAAATAACCCCCTTGTGATTGTATGCAAAAGAAATGATTCCAAAATTGATTATAGAAATGTTTCTTCAAGAATAACTCAAACAATCTAACATTTAACAGATCATGATGGACTACAGTGGGTTCTAATAGAAGCAGAAATGAGAACTGAGGACCACAAGAATGTGCTATTTTCCTAGATGGGTCAGGAAGAGGAGTAAATATTCAATGCAACAGTGATACCATGTCATGATTGATGACATGGTATCACTAACCAATAATTAAACCCCAAGTGGACAAGGTGAACCTCACTTGGGCTTATATGGAGGAAGAGTGGAGAGTTATTTGCTTACATGACAGATTGGTTATTAATTTGTGTGGGGTCCATTTGTTTATTTTTTTTAATATTATTGGAGGATGATACCACATCACATGGATCACATTGTCATGTGGTATCACCGTTGTAATCAATATTTTCTCAGGAAGAACACAGACTCATATCACTCATTGGATTATGTTTCGCTCTCACATTACCATAAGTTTTAGTCAAATGGGCCATTCAAGTTTTCTTCTATGATCCCCTTTTTAATATCATCTGCTCCTGTCACCAACTTGATAAAAATTCTCAATCACGTCACACTGTAACTGCTTTTGGGAGTTTCCTATCTTAATAAGTTTTAGTTAACTATCCTCCGTATTATCTACGATTGCCTTTTTGATATGAAACTCTCCCTTTATCAACTAGATCTCAATCACTCCACCAATGTCACTGCTTTGGGAAGTATCCAATTAAAAATTAAAAAAAAAAGTGTAAGTAAAAAAAAAAAAATTAGTAATAACTTGTCTTAATATCTCATTTCAAAAAAAAAAAAAGGCTCTATATTTTTTCCTCCAACTTCGTCCATTCTTGCCACCTATTGGGACTCTGTTATCTGGTTATGCTCCGCTGCTTCAACCTGCTCATGCCACAGACCAACAGATGTTTAAAATTGCATGTGTTGTATTTTTCAAAAAGTAAGAATTTAATTCATAAAAGCCACTGAAAACCGACTTAATATTTTGTCAGCTTTTACTCAGAATTAATAAAAAAAGGGTTAGACCCTTTCCTGCAGCGTCAATACCAGCGTGCCCTCAATATACCTCCTAACCCTCCATCTTTAGGCCGCATATTTACAAGCAAGGACGGCACTCTCCAACTTCTCAGACACCCACAATATATTAGAAAGGAGTGTGATAGAAAACGTATCTAAAATAACATACTGATTAACGCATAGGAAGTGCTCCAAAACAACCTAAGGAAGAAAAACCTACGTAGACAGGAAATATACAAAGATTTGGTGTTAGAAAGAGCACACACCTCTCGCTGCTTCCTTCACTACTGGTCTACAACTCCAAAATGCCATCAAAATTAATTGACTAATGGAAACTTAACTCTTAGCAGGTCTTGTGTTCAGACCAAGACCACCCCATTCGCACTTCCTCCCATTCATCTTCTGTCAGTGGCATGAAAAAACTTTCCCGTCTTCTTCTCAGATCCATCACACAAAAACCCAAAGATGAAAGAACTAACCCAGCCCTCTAAATCACCGATGAATTACTACCTCCAGGAATTCTGACTTCTTCCATACAGCAACTTAACATATCAAAAAGACCAAGTGGTTATTATTTCAAAAATTCAATTTGCGCAACTCTTTAAATAGCTTTATAAAATCTAAGAGAAGAATTTGAAGGAAAAAAAGGTAAAAACAAGGAAACTACGACATATTCCTCCTTGATTAAAAAGGTTTCAACATGAAAATAAAACAAAACTCAATACGGATTAAACTAATTCAGTGACGCATTATCTGAACATCTTCCTAAAGGGAGATCAATTTTGAAGGAATTCAATACTAAAAACACATAGTTATAACTTTTTATGGCCCTAAAGGGGACAAATATAGATATTCGCTAATTTGTCCTTGAGTACAATACTATCTTATCTCCTTTTGAGAAAATAACCAGCTTTTATTCTGATCAACTAATATAATATGCATTCTTGAATCAAAATACGAAAATGATATATCCATAATGTAATGTGCATGAATTGCAAGAATTATCAAATTATAATTATTTGGACAGACAACACTTGACATCTCTACATGTACACAAATTGGAGAATACCCTTAAATGAAACACATGAATATCAAAAAATTTTGGATTGGCATACTAGTAACAAGTTTGATACCAGATGAATGAATCAAATGAACGCCTTTGATAATCAATGGCAGAGATAATAGAGAAACACCTCTGAGATTGACGTAAATACAGTACAGTGGCGAACACTTTGCTGCATGCTCAGGCAACGTAAAATATATCGATGTGCATCACTTAAAAGACGCGATGTGATGACTACAATTTTCGTCGGAGAATCAAATTCTGAATTCCAGTCAGATACCTAGAGAAAATATGGATCAATCAGTCACATGAATATCAAAAATCCACCAATAAAATAGTTAAAATACTATGTAAACAGTGAGTAAATGATTACATCATGAATTGTATACACTTAATAAATTTATTATTCCCCCATGATTGTATATACTTCTGATCCATCTTTAGCATAGTACATCCAATGGGTAGAAGACAACAATAACATTTTGGGGAGGGAAAGGCAGAGAGGGAGAAATGGTTCTTCCTTTTTAGGGTGGGGAGGAGGGGTAAAAGAAAGGTTCATCAAAAAGAACTCAGTCAACCTTGACAGTATTTCCTTTTGAATAAACTTACTATTGGATGGTTAGGTCTTTTGGTTACTCATCTTGCATGTTTTGCAGGATATGAGTTTCATGCAATCTCAAAGAAAGAACTTTCACTTGTGGAGTAATACATTAACAACTACCATGTACAAGGGGATAAAAGAAAAGATAACTTCTACATGAACCTAACTCAAGAGAAAACTAACAAACCATGAAGGTTTTTTTGATAAAAGAATAATTTTACAATAGAAGAAAGTTGAGAACAAAATACAATGCTGAGGACAAGATATCCTCAAACCAATGATCAAAATATCGTTTCGAAACGATCAAAACGTTTCCGTTTCCAAAGAAACCGAAACGAATCAGTGATGGAATCGAAATTTTAATACTTCGAGGTGTTTTATAATGTTTCAAAATATTCTGTTATATTTCAATGCATTCGCACAGTTATTTCAGAATGTTTTAAGGTATTTCAAAATATTTTGGTATATTTCGACCAATGTTTTGAAAAAATAATTCTTAATTTTTTTATTTTTTTAAATTCTGTTTTCGGAACGGGTCGAAATATTTTCGAAACACGTCGAAACGTTTTCGTTTCCTAGGTGACCGAAATAATGCACCGAAACAAAATTTTGATCATTACTTCGAACAAAAGCAAAACACAAATCTTAATAAAAAAAACACTAAAAGAAATGAAACTAAAGGAGGACTACCTTCCAACTCGGTGGTAGATCTGACTAATGCAAGCCTTTAAAACTTCCCATGGTTTTAATCCAAAATGAAACCATGAACATAACTCTTTTAGTAAGTGTAATTTATTATAAAATAGAAAGTTTAATTTGATTGGTTGCAGGTAGCATCATAATTAAATAAAAACAAGATACTACGCACCAGGTTCCACAACTGGCTTAATGAAAAAGAAACACAATAAAACTGTTCTCACCATATCAAGAGAAGACATCTTTTCCAAGCTGCATACAGCACGCACTCCAAGTTCCAGTAACAGAGGGAATGCCCCAAGAAACTGGAAACACTCTGTACATCCTGCATCTATGTAAATAATCGAATCTTCAACTTCCTTTGATATCTGGATAACATGAGAAAGATTCTTAAACAAGAATAATCTGCTAGTTGCATAACAAGGAGGTTAGCAGGCATTAAATTATTACAACAATTGACTTTTCCTTATAAAAGACATGTATGCTGCCCTTGGAAGAATAGAAGCCTTTGAAATGGAACTGAGGCAAAATTAATTCATTTCTGAACAAATATAGAGAGCAGACAAAAAAAACAGAACAGAACCAAAGATCTGCAACATGGAGATTGGAGTAGAAATTTAGTTAAATTTAGAATAGAAGTAGACGATGAAGAAGATTATTTGAAATCAATTAACAAGAATGCATTCCAAGAGGACCATTAAAAGACAAAAGAAATCAATACTAAATATAAAAGAAAAAAAACTTACTAGTCTGATGGAATCAAGGCAACATTTGATCACATCAACAAAAGCCATGCTCTTAGCTACTAGCTCTCAGTGCATATCACAATTCAAAAATCTGCACAAGATCCAAGCATACTTTAGAGAGCATTTGTGGAAGTTAACGACAACAAACTTATTTTAGAAAGTTTGGCAATTCTAGCAAGCGCATAGCGTAGTTCTACAATCAAATGCACCCGCAAACCCCAATTCTGAAATAATACCCAAAATCAAATGCACCCACAAACCCTAAATCACAACTCTAATTCTAAGGTCAGCCCATACATAATGTCATTAAAGCACGGGCTTTAAGCTCCAATTAAAAAAGAGACCCAAATTTATAGATCTATAACACAGTACATATCAAAAAATATAAGTGAAAATTAGAACCAAGTACAATATGGCAATCTATTTTGCCAAAAAGGACAGGCGAGAACTTATTGGGTCATTAAGGAGTAAAGACAAGGGATAAGAAATTTTTGGTAAGTAGTTCCAATGGGCTGTTTTCTTTTCTTTTTTTATATATATTTTTTATTCTGTCCTCTAACAGAATATGGCAATTTACACGCACAATTTGTTGCTAAATTTATGTAAATGTTGCATTGATTATATCTCTTTTCTCTCTACTCTCTCTTCCATCTATTATCTCCCTCACCTCTCTTTTATATATATACACACACACTAGTGATAACCCATGCTAAGCACAACAAGTGTTAATGCCTAGGACTAAGTGAAGTTTGTTGCGTGATGGGCATTTATCTTTTTATACAAATTTCAAGTGCAGCAACATATAATATTTGTGCTTTCGTCAATTTATTTTTACAACAAATGGTCATATTAATCCTAGTCGCATGCATGGCTCATCTCCTCTAATTTAAACAGTAGCCTAAACAAAAAAAATCATCAAACAACCACCAAAAGTTATAAGACATGATTAATTAGGAAAACAAAAAATGACAAACTTTCAAAACAATAGCCTAATTAAAAATGAATTGTCCAATCAATTAACTTGAAATTTATGGCATGAATTGAGAAAGTACCGTGCAACTGTTTCACTATCATATTCTATACGGTTAGGGTACACTGGTTTATACCCCAGTTCTGCCTGAAAGTCTCCATGTATCAAATGATACATGTATCTATGAGCAATCAACCATGAACAATGTACATGACGGAAAAAATCCCAATGAACAATGTATATACCAAGGGAAAAAACCATGAAAAATGTATTATTCTCTAAATTCCTCTCTTTATCAAAGCTTTCTTCCCTCCCAAACAGAAACCCTACCTACCGGCCAATCAAAAAGATAAGCACTAACTGAAAAGAAAAATGTGATATGGGAACATTTGAGACAAAAAAAGTGGGTACATGGGCAAGTAATCACGTGAACCTATATAGATTGTGGAATCAAGTTTAAAAGATATGCCACTACCACAACATCATGCCAACATAATCCAAATTGTATATTCATTAAACCATCCCTCAAATAATAATAAAGAAATATCATATCTAAATCAAATATATTCAAACTCATACCGTACAACCATAAAATCCATGATAACAAAAGCATTGAACAAACATGAAAGTTATAAGATATAATCCACTTAGTAAATGTCCAAGCACCATGAATAAAAAAAACTTGAGTGTAATAAACTCCACCAAACAAGGCAGACCACGTTGAACAAACATGAAAGTCATAAGATATCATCCACTTAGTAAATGTCCAAGCACCATGAATAAAAAAAAACTTGAGTGTAATAAACTCCACCAAACAAGGCAGACCACGTTGATTATACTCAAATCGTTGACAAAACACGCCAACATTTGCACTAATTCCATTCTTAACAAAAGTTGCACTAGTCCATCTTGAACAGTAAACTAAAAACCATTAACATGCTAAAGTAGACCACTATCACCACCACCATTCAACCCAAAAACAACAAAAAACTATAAACTCAATCAACTTTTCTACTTAAACAAAAAGGCAATTTTTGTTCATGTAAAAGGTCCCAAATAGGCCACAATGACAACTCCCAGATTTTCTCACCAACATCGAAAAATAACTAGAATAAATCATTAACAACACAAAACCACCACCAAAAAAAAAAAAAAAAATTCTCCATACTATTCTAAACATAAAAAAAACTTAGTTACTTCTCTTACCTTGTAGTGGTTGGCCTTTGGTGAATATTTGAACTCATTGTAAAAAAAATTTAAAACAGAGATAATTTTTGTCTCTGTTTTGTGATAAATACTAAAACAGAAAATATGTTTGGAAGTCATTTTTGTCTATCAAATTATGAGAATAAAAACAAAAAATATGTTTGGTAACTACTTCAAATTTTATCTTAAATATGTTTAGTATCTATTTGTCAATTAAATCCCAAATCAACACAACACACACACATGCATTGACTCAACACAACACACACGTGCGCACAGATCTGTGCATATATATGCACAACTTCTGGGTTTCACAAGGAAGAGGGAGAGAGTAGAGAGGAGAGAGGCAGCGCTAGGTTTCTCTGTATCGTCTGGTGGTCTGATACAGAGAAAGGAGAGAGAGAGAGAAGCAATGGGGAGGAGAGAAGGATGAATGAGTTTTTATACATCAACAAAAAAAAAGCCTTGTTTTCCTATTAAGAGGAGTCGAAGTCTAGATCTCATTAATTCCTGAGTCTTGTTGCGCGTGTTGTCTTTGTTTTTGGTGTTTCTTGGAACATCTTTTTTTTGTTCCCATTTTTTTGTCTTTGTTTCCATACTACTAATATAAAACAAAAACAGTACCCAAACATATTTTTATTTTTATTTTTGACAAAAATTGAAAACAAAAACACAAAACACAAGATAAAGACAGTTACCAAACAACCCCGAAATTCTTGAACTCAACAAAAATGAACAACAATATCATTCAAATACCCAAAATCACGATTTAAGGTGCCCAAAAGCCTCCATTTAACACATCAATCAACACATTAATATAATTTTATTATATCTAACCTGTTCACAAAAAATTAAAATTATATATTTTTTTATCATCAATGATGGGAAACATAACTACAAAATTTGCATTAAATTGAACCTTAGAAAACCAAACATAAAATCAAACCTAACATAATTACATAATTCACATTAAATTAAAACTAATTACGAAATTCGCATCAAGTCGAGCCAACTTAAAAAATTCACATAATATCAAACCCAATGTAATACATCCTATATCTAGCAAGCTGAAGGTCTTGTAATTTGACACCATCTTTCATCAATATGCTTAATTAACATACCGTCAAGATGCTTAATAGTTCTAATGATTAAATATTCAGGAGTAGCAGAGAAATGCACATCAATTCTTTCCGATCCCAATTGTCAACATCTTTTTAGAACCCGAATACAGAGAAAGTAACATACAACCTAAGAAATAAATGTTCAAGCAAAACCCATAAAGTAGAACAAAAAAAAATTAAAACTTTAGATCTCAAAATAGAAAAAATATGATTAAACTTTGCATCCATATTGAACAGACTACAAGCAAAGTAGTTCTTGTAGATTTAATACGTGTGGAACATGTGAAAAGGAATTTAATATGTGTGGCACAAATAATTTCAAGTTCACTTCACCTTCATGCAATACAATTGCAAACGAATTTTCGTTACTTAACCGAAGAAGGTATGCATTGATTAATCATATAAATGTAGCAACTCTTTAACAAAGGCATCCATTGATTAATCCTACTAATTCAATAACAAAAAGGAAAAAACAAAAGGAATGAAAATATGAAATCTTACCTTAAAAGAGCAGTAATGGAGCCCCCAGCCCAAGACCTAGCCTTTCTTCTTCCAATTCTAAGCTAAATCAAACCCCCCAATCTTACGGTCCTTATTGTCTATGAATTTCCACAAAATTTTGCATTTGATTTTGACTCTAAGGCATGCAAAAAAATCACTGGTCAACAACATGTCGCCACAACTACTAAAACAAAACTAAAGAATCAAACAAGGGCACTTATTTAGGAAAAAAGATTAGGGAAGAGTAAAAGCAAACATAGAAAGTAAAATGAATGTTAATTTATGTTTTCAGCAAAATGATTAGGGAAGAGTAAACAATGGCACACACATGGGGAACCTATTACCCAATTCATCACAATCGGAAGCAATCCAGAAATAAAAATACACCCCCACACATACATCAAATCAAAAAAATATTCATTCAATCCTAAGAATATCATAATCTATACACATGCTTATGGACTAATTTCCCAAATTAACTGAAGTAACCACATGCAACGTATATAGACAAAAAGTTAGAAATGCTTCAACTTTTCTAACACATGTATTAGAAATTTGATATCAATCGTTATGTAAAATTCTAACCTTACCATGTATGCCTATAAATTATAGCTAGTTTTTTTAGGGATATACGACATAAATCACAATCTCCATAGAAACCCAAGAAAATTACACCTTCCAAACACCAAATTTTGTTATTTAGAACTCGAAGAACAAAAGCTTCACACTCAATTGAACCAACTAAATTACAAACTTCTTTAAGTTGAGCTTCCCAATTTTCTTGAAAAGGAGAACAACATAAAACAGAGACCACCAAGATTTATTTTTCTTTTCTTTTCTGACCCACTTTTTGAGCAACCAATTAGAAAATCCTTACACATAACCAAAAAAAATAAATCATGAAGACAAATGTACAAAGAATAAATAAGCATCAAATGTCTACCTACTAAGCAAACAAAACTGTATTATTAGTGACAAACTCAAAATCAAACAAAGTGAAATAACCAATTAAAATCCAAGGAAGAGAATCCAATGATGCGCATCAAAAAGGAACATAATTTGAAGTTTTTAACCCATTACACCCACAAAAATGCGTACACAATAAATTCATGGTAAAGTGTGTAAATCTTCGCCCGGGTATTTTAACAATCACTTGATGTCCATTATAGATAATAGCAAATCAACATCAAACTAACAATAAATTTCAAATACAAATTTTACATCAAATTAAAAGGTTTGATTTTTTGGGT